ATACCCTTCCAAAAACAAAACCTCGGGGATTTGCTAAACGCCATTACAGTCCAGAAGAACTTCTAAAAATGGGATTTCTGCAGTGTTCTGAATGTGATTACCTTTTTCAAGACAGAAGAAAATTAAGGCAGCATATGTTTGCAAATCATAGAGAAATTATGCCGAACCCTGTGTGCCCTATATGTGGAGAAGAGTTTGAAGGATGTAAGTACTGGTATTGTAATAGTCTGTAAATTAAGTGGTAGCCTGACACCCCATGTCTAGTATAACTTTCCTTGCATATTAATCAGAATTGTTCTATGGTTACAGAAAATCCCAATTTACAGTCCCCTGTGCAAGGCAAGTTGTTCATTATGAATGAATTGCATACCTAGGAGGACGCTATTACACTGTTATAAATGAATATATAAACTCGTGTACTAGAAGAAAAATGGTGTGTGAAAATATTAGTTCTCGTATATGATTTGGATGTAATATGCAAGAAAAAGACCAATTAAAACACTGGCTGTTCTCACAGAAGCAAATACCTAGCTATTTTACTATCATTATTTGTATTTGTATAAGATCATTATGTTGTTCATTATTAACTCAATTAACTGGTATTGTTATGTCAGCGTTGACATCCGCAAACTTGTACCTTGATTATAACTTTTTATGCTCTTGTTGAATTGTCTTCATACTTGGCCACAACAACCCTTGGGACAAGACCTTTCAGTAGACCAGACTAACTTTGACCTTCATCCATAAATGACTAACGAAAGTCTGTATATTAGCAAACATGTGTAAAGTAAAGATCACATATTATAACATTGTTATTTCAATATGTTGAGTAGTGAATATCTGTAAAGAACATCTGTAGAATAAAGAACATACATTGTTATAACAATATGTTGAGTAGTGAATGACTGCAAAGAACATTTGTAGAATTAAGAACATAAATGGTTATTACATTATGTTGAGCAGAGAATGTTTGTAAAGAACATCTCTAGAATTAAGAACATTCATGGTTATTACATTATGTTGAGTAGTGAATGACTGCAAAGAACATTTGTAGAATTAAGAACATTCATGGTTATAACATTACATTGTATGTTGACTGTTGAGTAGTAAATGACTGCAAAGAACATTTGTAGAATTAAGAACATTCATGGTTATTACATTACATTGTATGTTGAGTAGTAAATGACTGCAAAGAACATTTGTAGAATTAAGAACATTCATGGTTATTACATTATGTTGAGTAGTGAATGCCTATATAGAACATCTCTAGAATTAAGAACATTCATGGTTATTACATTATGTTGAGTATTTAATGACTGCAAAGAACATTTGTAGAATAAAGAACATACATTGTTATTACTAAAGAAAGTGATCACAGATTGTATTTATTCTATTTTTTAATAACTTTCCTATGTTTTCTACATGCAGATCGAGACCTATATAAGCACAAACGTGAGAAACAGCATATGGATAGTATTTGGCGTCTGAACAGTTACCAGTGCGAAACTTGTGGCAAACATATGACCAAATACGAAAACTTCAAAAGTCATAAAGAATTATCATGTGGTAAAAATGAAGAGGAGTTGAAAGCTCTTCATATACACCCGTGTGAAATTTGTGGAAAACTATTTAAGACTACAAAAGCAGCACACCAGCATAAAATTAAGGTTCATGAACAAGAGGAGTCTGTTTGTGACATCTGTGGAAAAGTTTTGAAGACTAAGTTTGCATTACGTTCACACAAACGCAGGCATTTCGATAAGAATAGAAAGTTTGTTTGCAAAGAATGTGGCAAAGGTTTCTTCAATGTTACGATTTTAAAACAGCATGAACGTGTGCATACAAAAGAGAAGCCATTTAAATGTCCGATGTGTGAGTACACGTCGTCAGTTGCAGGAAATATAAAAAAGCATTCTTGTAATATACACAAACAAAATCTGGCACCTATTGATTTAAGGCAATTAGACAAGAGCGGTACTTGATTAGAAACAGTATTTTTGATTTGTTAATCTTTAAAAAGTAAATGTGTATGAATGAAAGATAATTGATAAATGTTAGGTGCTCTTATAAATAGATTAGTAGTAATAACCGACCTATTGTTTATAATTTGTTGTTCCCCTCTGATAACCTTATAATTTATAATAGATTTGTTACATAGTTTCTTTTCCATATTTAATTACATATAGATGTGTATGCAACTAGCAAAATTTTCATTTAGTCTTCATAGGCTAGAAAACTTAGTGATCTTTGACTTAAAAAGTCTTCTCACAAACTTCAATGCCATAGCATAGATATTTGGCTTGAAGCACCACCATCTTTTGATTCTCTGCAAAAGTTGAATAATTCATTTCCTTGGGGGTCAAAATTGCCTCCTTCTCAAGGGTTGACAATAAGTTTATATAAACTGTTTTAGTAAACTCATAAATATTATTGCCTAGATCTTAGATATATGGCATGGAGCATTGACTTAAATATAAAATAACATGCCCCCATATGTGGGCCACTTTGTATCATTAAGATTGTTAAGGATCTATTCCCTTAATTAAAGATTATTTATTATCACTCATAAAGATTTGCATTTTGAAGTAATATTTCTTGCCTTCCTTTGTGTTTATATTTGTGCTTTGTCATCATAAAATAAGTATTAGTAGTCACTGATAGATAGTACTATGTAGTCCTTGTGACACAATAATTTATGTTGACCGATCATACTCATGGAAAGATTTTATTGTGTGGAAACAAATCCCTGTGCTTGCTCAAGTCAAAATTTTAAGAATAAATGATAAAATTGCAAGTCCGTTTCATATACCACTTGAAGGATTTTTTTCAAAATTAAATGTCAGAAAGCCAACTATATTAGTCCTAAAACCCAATAAGGATTCTTTTCAAACCAAGCTCAAATGTTAATACAAAGGCAATGTGCAGAACACGTGTCATCCTTGTGTAGACTGAAGGTCAAGGTCACACTTGAAGGTTAAATATCAGGCAGCCCATTGTCAGTCAAAGTCATGTCCATTTTACAGATCCTATTTTCCTTCAAGGATTTTCTTTACCTTGTTTATAATATACATCGGAAAAAAGGTGATGTGTAAAACCTATGCCACTCTTGTTCCGGGTCATGGTTAGGTCACAGTTAAAGGTTTAATGACAAATGTCAAACGCGCCTACTCTAATAAATCCTACAACAAATCAAGGACGTTCTCTAATTGTCCAATATTTCACAGAAATCTTTTATTTTTTATATCTCAAATTTTTTATGTCCTTTTATAGTTTTGAAAAAATAATGGCCAATTTCCTGAAACATCATTTGCTTCTATGGCATTTTGACAATAAATATTGTGATTTAGTTTTTGGTATGGAAGCCAAAGTACTACTTTGATTACATTTTGCTATATACATGTTTATGACATAAACATACAATTTTACAGTCAGTTTACTTAAGAATTTAACTGCTCAAAAACCATTATCTAAATTTTTAAAAATCGTGCATGCATGCCCTTTCAAGAGAAGTAAGGATTTATTCTTTTCTGAAGGATAATGTTCCTTTTGTTCAAATCAACATGGTAATGTGCATATTGCGCCAGCTAAAAGTCACTGTCATAGCTTAAAGTTAAATTGCAGAAAGTCAAATATTAGACAATTTTGTATACACTTTGTATCAACTTTGTATCCACTTTATAAATCCTACACCACTGTAAGTTTTTTCTTTTAACTTGGCTCGAATGTGGGATAATGTGCTGTATGCAACTCTGAGATCTAATAACTTATATTTTTTGAAGTATACATTTAAATAAATCTACTGTCAAATGGTGGGGTTATTCGTCACTTTCTTGTGACAAAGCTTTAAATCATATGGCTCTCTAGTCCATTGGACCACTTATTTTGTAAAATTATTTGAGCCGCGTAATGACAAAACCAACGTAATGTGTTTGCAACCAGCATGCATCCAGACCAGCCTGCGCATCCGCACAGTCTGATCAGGATTCAGGCTGTTCGCTATCAGTTTCTCTACTTGTTATAGGGTTTGTGGGCGAACAGCATGGATCCTGATCAGACTGCGCTGATGCGCCGGTTGGTCTGGATCCATGGTGGTCGCAAATGCATTATGTTGGTTTTGTCATGGCGTGGCTCATTTATCTTTTTAATGGCACATTACCCCTCTGAAATCAGTATTTTTTTTATTTCTCTAGAAAGGTAAAATATGTGTTATATAATATTTTAATAATGATTTTAGAGCGTTTTAGATGAAAGAAGTGTTGAAAGATCAGTCATGTGTTGTTAAAGTAGGAAAATGTAAACAAAGTAGTATTTTGAGGTTCCATACTAAATGCTAACACGCTAGACCTATGCCATTTGCCAAAGACCAAAAGTAGCGAAAGATAGTTAATCTATATAGCCATTGAGTATTGTTTTGGAAACTATAATAAGATAAAAGAAATAAAAAAGACTTTAAAAATGATAGCATTTCATGGGCTTAATGGGCCTTTAAAGAAGTATCCGATTTTATCCAGGTGAGCGTAACAGGCCAAAACGACGCTTTTGTTTTATTATTGTATTGAACTATTCCCTTATCAAAAAATTCCTTCCTGGACAATAATGATTGTGGTTGGCTTGAAAAGATTAAACAGTATTACAAGATTGTTGTCACTCGGCACTGAAATAATCTTTATACCGTCAACAGTTCAGTACTGGATAAAAATGTTACACTATTGAGGCCGGTTTAATGATAATAACAAAAAAAAACACACAAAAAAAAACAAAAACAAAAAACGTCATTTGCACCGATATAACTGTATTACAGTATAAACTTTTTTATCAGTTCACCTTGCACAGTGATTGTTATATCATTTATAAATTCATGTCAGATATCATTATAATTACAGCTTAATATTTTTGACATCACTCCGATCAAACCCGTTTTTTTGTTGATCTTTTTTTAGCATCAACAGTTTTTCATTTCGGGCAAGATAAAACAAAATTTTAAAGTATTGTTTGTTTCACCTACAGTTGAGAAATGTTCGCCAGAACAACTTTAACAGAATCCAAAACGAAAAACTCAAAGTCGGGCATGCCTATATTTTAAGGTTAAACGCCTTGCAAAGGGAGAAAAGGCCAGAGCTGTGCTATAATGCTAACGATTTCAGAGTAGAGGGATTTGCTTTTATGGTGGGAAAGGGTTCTTAGAGGGGTGGAGTATCTAATTAAACTACTACTTTGAGGGACGAATGTAAATAATTGTTCTTTATCGCTCCTCAAGTAGTATTTCATTATTGTCTGCTTATGTTAGTTCAAAGGGATTTAAGTGTTGAAACTTTGTGTGCGACGCAGTATATTTTATCTTTTGGCCGTAATGTAACAGTTTTTATCTGACCCAGTATGTGTGCGCCACAACGTTGTACCTAACAACAGGAAAGTGCAGTGAAGAAATGTAAACAATTTATTGATAATACAATGATTTGTTATTTTGACCTAATCATTATGATAAAAAAGAGGTCAATTTATGTCAGCAAATAAGTACTAAAAATAAATTTGGATTTTAAAATAAAATTGTCACTCTTTATATTGGGATATCATTATTATTATTACTACTACACTATATTAAGACAAATGGAGAAAACCGAAAAACGGCAAACCTTGATGCCAGACTAGAAAATCGGTAGCGTTAGATTCTATAACGGTAAGTCATTTAATTCATTTTTGCAGGCATATTCTCAGTATATTTTAAAATTGCGATATAATGTTTAAACATCACAGATTTGTTGTGTTTTTTTTTTAAATCGGACATTCTGTTAATTTAGTTAACATAAAATTTTAAGCTAAAATACTAGTAAATGGGACTATTTCTTAATTAACCATATAATTGTTCAAAGTACTTACTGCTGATGACGTTAAACTTTACGAGTGCTGTAGATTTCGTGAATGATTCTGTTAAATAAAATAATTAAATGTTATGTTTTAAAACATATTTTGTTAATTAACACAAAGTTTGCCCTTTTATTATCTTTAATGTCCTATCTGAATTAGGCCTATATATCGTTTTAGTTGTATACTGATTACGAAACCACATTGTGTTTTTAAACGTATATCAACATACCTAAACGCTGTAAATTGTATTAAAATATGGCCTCTTAATGCTTATACTTAACATGTAAATAGTTCTGGCGTGGTGCAAAGGAGGCGTCTTTTTATTATAAATAAATGAATATTTATGATACTTTTGATTAAATGACTGCACTAAATCAAAATGCATTTCGTGTAGGAAAACTATTACTATTCCACATGATTCGTTTTAATGCTGGCTCGATTCCTTTAAGTTTTACTGGATTTGTTTCAATTTCAAAGCTATTTATGACTTTAAATGGATTTTCTATTTCCAATCTTTAATTTTGAGCTATGGGGAAGAGTTGTAATTTCTTAAGTGCGGCCATGACAATCAGTATGTATTTAGGATTGCGTACCGCATTTGACCTCGATTCGGATGATGCGCTTTATTCCATTAACATTTATGGAAAAAAAGGGAATTATTTCTAGCAGTTGATGCAAAAATAATGTATATGTCCCTTAAAAATGAAGTGATATACCACGTGGTATGATTAAAAGTTTTTTCACTCAGTCATTAAAATGAGAAACTGAAATCTTAAATTATTGTGAAAGATTATATACATGCGATTTTTATTCAATGATGGTCCCTCAATACAATTTGGTGTATATCTGAACTATATAAACCTATGTTATATTTTTGTAGCGTCACCAGCATTTTACTACAGAGATAAATTAATTAAGTCCCAGTTTATCCGATGTCATTAATCCAAAATATGGCGCTAAAAAGTAAGAAGCCGAAAAGGGAACATGACAATGACGCGTTTTATGGAGCAGACGATAAAAGCGGCGTTGAAGGAATAAGGATGGGTACCTTAGAGGATAAACATGATATAATACCAAAGGTAGAAGCAGACGATAAAGACAGCGCTGATGTTGCTCAAGACGAGGCCGATATAGGATTCAAAGTAAGTATCACTAGGGAAACCAAAAATGTAAATAGTGCATTATCGTTTTAACTTTATAAAAAGGGAAAATTTTAAGGGATTCTAGAATATAGGGGGAGACTTTTGCCAG